AGAGAGAGAGAGAGAGAGATGTGTGTGTGTGTGTGTGTGTGTGAGAGAGAGAGAGAGAGAGAGAGAGAGAGAGAGAGAGAGAGAGAGAGAAAAGAAAGTGCATTCACTGGGCGTTTTTTGAAACCCTGTAGAATGGCCCCAAAAACTAAATTTCAACTGCATGCAATAAAAAGAATTATACCTCAAGTTTAATGAAATGACTGCAATTTGCTTTGAACAAGTTCCTGACGTAACCAGTTACTCATAGTATGCACAATGCGCTTTCTAGCCCATCGACTCTGACTACGCACAATGCAATTTCTATCCCACTGACTTTGACTATGCAAGAGTAATTGCTACCTGATGTTGACATTGGTGGACAGGGCTATACCCAACTTGAAGACATGCAGCAGGCAGCACATAAAGATAGGGCACTCTAAGAGAGAAGTGCAGCTGTGACAGACAGACTGCAGACTGTTTCATCAGACTCTCGCCGACTCGTCGGAAGGCTGAACCCTAAATAGTCTGCGAAATGCCCTGGCAATTCTTTGAGCTAGTATATTAAGTTACACCTGCTTCAAACCGAATTTTCTGATTAATTGAGAACAAGGAGAGTAAAACTGATCTCTTGTCATTCACTACTACCACATTACCTATTTGCTGGAGGTTTCCTTACCTGCCCAATCACTCTCTTTGTGTTGGGGTCCTTTTCTGAGAATCCTTATCCATTCTTATGGGATAGCTTCAGTGATTGTATCTAGTGCTTTTTCTGTACTCCTGCAGTAACGCAAACTACCGTCTTCCCCCGAACATAACGTACCGTAAAAATGAATGTATACAAGCTATATTTCCGGCCAGATACGGCCAAAATGAGGGTGCGTTGTGTTCGGGGGAAGACGGTAGGCAAGAGATCAGAGAGAGAGTACCAGTCCCGAGTTTCTGGGTTCCAGATGTCCTCGGAAAGTCAAACTAAGAAAACCAAATGGGTCAATGCTGACCAGGTATTCAGGATCAGAGTTCTGAGATATAAAGACCACTGGCTGGCTTTCAAAGTGTCATGGGCA